TATATATATAAATAATATATATCACCAGAGGTTAGGCAGGCTCTTACCCTTCCAATTTTCCGGAGGGAATTGAAGACTTGGCTCTGCCAACTTGCATGGAACGAGGAAAGATACAACCAACGCTGGGGATGGCTGGCGCCTTGAAGACGCTCCCTGAGTTTATTAACACCTCATTAACACCAGCCTCTTGGAAGTTTTATATAGGGAGTTTGTTAATGTAGTATATTTTAATTAATATTTATCTATTTTAATTAATGTTTCTTCTGTTTTTGGTGTAAACCGCCCAGAGTTACTCTGCAGTGAGATGGGCGGTAACAAATTTGAAATATAAATAAATAAAGATAAAACAAATATAGTATGTAACATCCACTGGAGTATCAATGTAACGTGCACACACCCACCAGTATAATGCATAAAATATAATATGGATTTTTTAAAAACCCTGACAGATGTGTCCTGAAAAGGAACTGAACTCTTTCATTTAAAACTAGATCCTTAGAAACCTGGGAGAATAATATAGGTTCCCAGTGAACTCTCCTTGATGGGAAAGAAAAGGACCAGGAAAATCAGTTGTAACTGAGCGCAAGTAGGGACTTGACTTTGTGGACCATCTCTTTCCTTGGAAACAGTGTTCTAGAGTTGGGGTAATACTCTTCAAACTGGTCATCAATGGGTGCCCAAAGAAGCTGGCTGGATTTGTCACCCCAAATCTGCCTGCCCAGAGGCATCAGTTGTGAGAATAATATGATAGCCTTATGGATGCCATCCAGAAGAAAGGTGTGATACAAATATTCGAACCAAGGCATGTTACTTGAAGTCCTCTTTTGAAAGGAGATCTGAACACATTCACAAAGGGGTGAAAGTTGTATGAGTAATACTTCCTGGTTTTAGGAAAAAAGGGTTAGGGTTCTTAATACCTCTTACTAGGGAGCGAGGACAGGGGAAGACATTTGCCTCCATTTTCTTGTCTTGAGCTTCCTGAAAACCTCTGATTGGAATAGGAGGGTGGAATAGACAGGCTTCAGAATATTCTTCCTTGGCTGTCTACATTAATCCACTCCTCCCATCCTTTCAAAGAGAGAAGTCCAGTGTGGGGATGGTGCTGACGCTGAAGCATTGAAGATCTTGGTTCATGAAAAGCATCTCAGAGGTACGAGAGCCAGGAGTAGAGGATCAGTTATAGTCTAGCATGCTTTTTCATACATATAATGTAAAAAAACATACATTGAATGGATCCAAAATATCATAGGCTCATTCCTCATTCCTCCTATCACAGGTTTGATGGAAAATGTATCTAAAAGAAAATCCTCTTAAAATCAAACCTCCTTGGGCTGGTGTTCCCTCATTGTGTTGGACTACAGCTTCCATCCTCTCCCAGACAACTTGACACAATTTGAATTCAGTTGAGATAGATGCAGTCCAGCTGTCAAACTGAACTTGGGGGTATTGGGGAGGTGGGGGAGGTGGAGAGAGAGAGAGACCATATCAACATTGCCCATAACCTTATTCCATTACCTTTAATACTGTCTGTGTAACATCAGCAGTGGAACCAGACAATCCTATTCATTTCCTCTCTCCTCCCCATGCAAAAGGAAGTGATGAAAGTTGGCCAGAGCATCAAATGAATCAGATCTCTTGAAATGAAAGCAAGGTGGAAGGCAGTCAGCTGCCCTACTTGAAATGGATATGTGATTCTTTACTGAAACCAGAGAAAGCATATATTGGTGATGCAATCTGAAATAATGAGGAATATGGCTTTTTAAAAAAGATAAGAGACTCAAAATAGCAGACTGGAAATCTATTTCATAAAGGCTTGATAGGGATAATGATAATGATATGCAAAAGCAGCTTTACTTGGAACAGCTTACATCCTATGATGATACCTTTAACACCATCAAACACCATCTGCCTATCTCAGGTCCTTGGGAAGGACTTGATAGGCAGATAAAAATTCCAAATCCAGTCTACACATCTGGCTGACTGTGCAACCAACAATAATAACAATATATTTTATCCATTCTTTATCCATGTCATTCTCCATGCATTTGGAGGAGCCCATAAGTAGGACAGCAATATTAGCATCTGAAATTGACAGCCAGTGTGGAGACTATCCATATTATGGATGAATAGTTTCATCTAGCCACTGTTATGGTAGATCAGTAATGTAGACAAGCTTTCTAACACCACACTTAGCAGCTGGATTGTGTTCTCAAAGCTAGTCCAACTGCAGGGGTGTTTAGCTGGTGTACAGAGCCATGGAAATGACCTTGGAAATGGCATCCAGAAGTCATTAAGACCACAGCAGGTGCAGAAGAAGCCTGTGAACTCCAGGGGTGTGGAAAAGTATTAGAAAGAGACTCAGATTGGCTCCCCCCTGACTCCCTAGAACATCAGAAGGAAGGAAGGGAAAACATGGATAGACCTACGAGATTCTGATACTGCAGGGTGTCTCAATAAAGTATAGCTCTGGAGTCAGTTTCCTGATCTGTCTACCTTGCCGGGATCACAGTCCATGCAAAGTGGTTAATTGGGGGGAGGGGGGGAGAATGTCTTCCTGGCTTCTATCCAAGGGGTATCATGCTGGTTCCAGGGGCTGAGCCTGAACCCCCGTGCTAGCCAATCTGTGCATTGAACCTACTGGTTGCAGGAGAAGACATCATCGCGTGATGGAAGGCTAGGCCAGCTCACTGCGCAGCTTGCAATAATCATGTTTGCCTTGTAATTAAACATGGGATCGAGGGCAGGGAGGGAGTAAACATAGTAAAACTAACATAGTTTTCTGTGCTTGAGGGTGGGGGGGAATATAGGCAAACTGGTTATTGCCTCATTAAGAAACCCTCTCTGAGATGGGTTCATTGCTTCCAGTGTGGGAGGTTGCATATAACTCAAATCACTTGTAATCCTTGTATCAATGTGTAATCTAGAGAATTTTGTCCCTACAGACCTTTGTACTGAGCCAATGTGGAATTTGCCCTTTCTACAGGGACCTCACATACAAGGCTAGGAAAACAATAACTTATAATCCAAACAATATAATAATAATTTT